TAAGAGAAAGGTACAATGTTTGTTCTGAAACATAAGACATAAGCCTTTATTATGCATTGGATTTATAAGCTAGAGGATGACAGAAAAGAGAGACCTTAACTGTGAAGGTTTCAGATCATTTGAAGATTAAACACAAGTCATATTAGTGCATTTTAAGACTTTTGGTAAAGATATAGTTTTCAACATAATCATATCACCTTTAAATAAACCTACTTTGTCATAGATTCATTTTATTTATTTAGATTAATTCTGAGTATTTAAATAGGTTAATGTATGCTTACATGAGTTCACGAGATGACAGTGATATTATTTGATGCCTCTCTTTTCCTAAGTAATTATACAAGTTGGTCTTTGAAGTTTGAATTGCTTGTTTGAGCTATGCCTGATAGCCAAATAAAAGTGTGTGATTTTAATTCATGTGTGCACCAACTGGATGCAGAAAGATAGGACCGAGTGGGGAATAAGATATAAGATTCTCTGTTAAGTTTGTCTCTAACTCCATGACCTTGGATAAATGTATATTTATTCTGTAAGATGCAGGCAAAACCTGCCCCCTACCTATCTTCTGGAGCTGCTGCAAGATTTATTGAACTAGAAGAAAAAGTGGTTTATAGGTCTAGAGAGACTGAAGTCACATAAATGCAAAGCAGTAGGATTTATTCCTTGAGTTATACAAAGGTAAACAGGCTTTCGTAGCATCCCTATGTGTCAGGTAGGTAACCTTAGCCCACATTTTCCAAATATAAGGGCTTAAGTACTTCTGCTTAAGCAACCTAGATTGGGTGTTTGAGAAGACACAATGACTGGACTCAGACTGTGCCCAGTATTTATCTGATACCTGAAAGTACTTTAAAGGGCAGCTTAAACTTTTCCTACCATTCCTTTGGCAGAGTATGGAAACAGCCTGCATATTGTTCTACCTGGTTTTCTTCTGCAGTTCTTATGGCATTCATCTGAAATGCAAAAAGCCTTTTCTCAGCAGTATCCCAGGAGAGCCAAGGACTTGGGAGCTATTAAGAGACACTGTTCTAGTGATGAAGCATATAATGTGATTTAATGTAAGCTGAAGTCAAGGTATCCATCAGACAAGGAGCAATGGAAGACAGACAAAAGAATGTAAGAGTTGACCTGACAGCCGGGAGTGGTGGCACCCATAACCCCATATATGGTAGGCTGAAGGAAGAGGTTCCTAAGGCTGAGGCCAGCCTGGTCTGCATAGTGAGACCTTGCCTTGAAAAACCAAAACAAAGAAAGTAGCTCTTGCAGTAGGATTGTGGCAGTGATGAATATTCCACCCTCCTTAGCATCACCTCCTTATGCATACCAAATAAAGGCAAGCGGACAGGGACTACTAATACACTTACCTCCTCTCCCTCCACACAATTGCTCCTTACTCACCTGTTACAGTATTGCTTGTCCAATGATACTGAAACTGACTACGCTTTTACTGGGTGCCTACTCCATAGAAAGTCACCAACAAATGTTGTCTGCTAGCTGAATTTAGAGTAGAGAAAATTCCAGCAGGAATGGATATGCAGAAGCTTTACCTTAGGCACTAATGGCAGTGTGACCCTGGGTGGCAATTGTTTGACATCATATGCAAAATGGAGAAAATGGTAATATTTAGCTGTGAGAAAATTCACAGAGGAACCATATAAGTTGCTACATTTAAAGGCTGGAGCACAGGGTCTCACACAGAGAATACATCTGATTTACAGTGTTCCCTGCTAGGTGAGATGTGGGTAGTGTTTCTACAGTTAGGCGGTTGTTCTTTATTGAGCTCTTAATGAACCAGACCCTGAGGGAGACATTGGGAAATGTGCAGATTAATAAGACTGCTATCATCCTTTACCTCACATAACTTTTGGAGGGGGATGCTAACCAAGAAAACAAACTCAGGATTAAATAACACTGGAAAGTTACTATTAAGAGACTGATACAGGACAGCGCCATGGAATTACTCCTGATGAAACATTTGATGTTGATCTAGACAACAATAGGATATTTTTCATATGCAAAATTAAAAGCCCTCTTATAGGAATCATCAATGTATAATCTCTTCAGGCCTATGACATTACTTTGCTAATAACATTTTCTCAGTACAATTATAACAATAACTATTGTGGCCCATGAGATGGCTCAGCATACAGGCAATCACTGGGGTTGGTAAACTGAGGACGAGTTTCATCCCCAAAACTAAAATGGTGGAAGGAAAGAACCCATTAGGCACAATGGTCCTCTGAACTCTACACCCACACCCATATACAGACAAAAAATGCTAAAATAAATGTAAAACCATAATGGCTTATACCATATTGATTAACTGAACATAGTGTTGGGCAGGCTTTCCCATGATTCACCTGTTGCTGGGAACTTTTAACCATGGGAATGCATGCTTTAGAGAATTCTGGTACTGTCTCCTACTACTTGTTAATAAAAGTCATTTGGGAAATAAAAGGAATACACACATACATAAGTACAATATTTCCTGGGGTGAGTTCTATCCATGTTTGTATAATTTTATCTTTAACAATGGATAATGGAAGTTGGGCCTTAAAATTTTTCCCTGTCCACAACAAAGTCTCAGTGACTATTATCATTTTAGAGTGATCATTCTTGGGATCTTTTTTCTTTTGTTTTTACTGCTGTTGGGATAGTTTTTTTTTTTTTTTTTCTGAGACCAGATTTTGCTCTGTATCCCAGACTGCCCTAGAACTCACTATGTGGCACAGGCTGGCTTAAATTTTGGGGCAATCTTGGCTTCCCCAATGATAGAATTACAACATAAACCCTACACCTGGTTTTCGTGAGATCTTCCTAACATGTTTGTGGAAAAGATGCAAGGTGTATGTTCTAGGAAGAAAATTCCACTCATTTGTACCATTTTTAATTCTTTCAGGAAGAGATCTATTTTAAAACTAAATTTTTAGTGAAGCAATATCTAAGACCAGGAAACTACTTAATGTTTGCTTACCCATTTTGCTTTTTTCTAGTCCCCTTTCTTTGGATGGGAATTTATTGGGTCCTTATTCTCCACTCTTTCCTGGAGGAACTCCTGCTCATTTATCTAGATGGGAAAGGAGGCTCACAGAGTATGGAAAGAAAGCAGTCAGCAAATGATAACCCTGCCTTGCACTAAAATCCTTTCTGAGAAATGGAACAAGAACATCCGGGGCTTTGGCAGAGTGGCCTGGATGCCTGGGGAGGAGCAAGGATTCCTGACTCCAGCCTTTATGAAGAGGCTACAACCTGCCCGAACGTGTTTCTCTTTCAGCGGAGTCTGTATATGTATAATGCTGTTCAAAGAATCCTTGTCTTTTAATAGCTAGAGGACACACTTAGGTCCTCAACTTTGATTTCTGATTTGAGCAGTCCCTAAAAATGCACTTCCTTCCTGCTTTGGTCTTCAGAGCAATTTAAATCTGATATTTTATTTTATTTTATTTTTTTATTTATTTATTTAGGCTACAGATCCCATTCTGTAGCCTAAATACTTCTGTAGATTTGCTGTGTTCTAGCCTAGCCTTGAATCAGCGGAGATCATCCCGGCTCAGTCTCCCAGGTGCTGGGACTACAGGCCTGAGCTGTAGGAGCCGTGGGTATGTGACATCTCCCTGGAATGGAGTTTTATCATAAAAGTTGTCCTCTAGAACATTATTAGGAAGGTTCTCAACCAAATATTATCACTGAGTATCACTGCCAAGTGGGGTTCATGACAAATGTAGATTCTATAGAGTAATATAACAAGTCTAAGTGTCAGAGAACAAAATCAAATCAAAACTGGAAATAAGCGCTATTTTATAATATGTTTATCCAATCCATATATATTCCCTCAATAATTTCATAACTCTCATGTGCATAAGAGAATGTTATCTAGAACATGAAAACTGTAAAGAGTTTCAAAGTTATTTCAAACCTTAGAGATAACTATCAATTTGAAAAGGGCTAGGCTTTTGAGAAACTCTTTGGAATTTTCAAAGCTCTCTCACCTACTATAAATCCTTATCTGAACTTCTGAACAGTATCAGGGGATTTGGGGTAGGCTGATATTGTAATCACAGAATTACAGAATTTAGGAACAGAAAGGATTTTAAAGATCACCTAATGAACCATTTAATTTAGCATGTAGGACGCTGAACTGCCTGAGGTCCCACAGCAAAGGCCACCAGGCACTGACTTGCTCAAGGGGAGCAGAATGCGGGTGTTAGCAACCCTGGGTTAGACACTGGTGACACCAGATGTATACAAATCCTTTCCTATGTCTGTGTAATACACAGATCTACAGCAAACCCACAGCTCGCATTCACTAAGTCAGTCATCTGTAGTTCCTACGGTTCAGAGCACTGTTGCTAAGCCCCGAGAATAAAATCCCAAACAGGTCACTTCTTCCAAGTTTAGTCTCCCTCTTCCAAGACGTATGGCGCTACAAAATACTTGGGGAACCTTAACTTTAAAAACGTGTTTTTAAGTGCTTTTGGTAGCAATGACTGGGAGGCCAGGGAAGGAATCTAGGAGGAATCACAGAGCGGGGACAAATCTTCCCAACTATATACACACGCATAGACTAAGGAGAACACACACACACACACACACACACACACACACACACACACACACGCAGAGAGACAGTTAATTACGTCGCTCTCTGCTGCCTTCTGGGATCTTCCGCAAGCCGGGGCACACAAGATCTTCTCGGAGTAAGGACTAGATGCCAACTCACTCAGTTTAAGAGGGAGAAAGAGCAAGAGCCCACACATCCTTATCTCCTAACTGGAAAAGACCAGAACCGCCCCCCGGGGACGGGTACGCGGGCTGCTTGCGGGGGACTCCGCGGACCTAGGGGAGGGTCGCCGTGGGCATAGCCGGTGCCCGCAGCCCTGTGCGCAGAGCCCGGAGCCCCGGCAGCGCCCGCCCTCCCTCCCGCGTCGCCAGCCAGCTCGCGGCGCCCGCTCCGCCCGTGACTTCAGTTCGGCTCCACCCCCGCGCGGCGGCGGCTCGCAGCTCCGTCCCAGCCCGCGCGCTCCTCACAAGCCCAGCCCGGGCGAGCGGCAGCCACCTGCCCGGCGCCGCCTCAGCGCGCCCCGCCGCGGCCCAACTTGGATGGAGTTGGGGTCCTGAGCGCACACCCTGCCGCCTTCAGCCCGGAGCCCCGCGCCGCCGCCTGCCTTCGGTCCGAAATCCCCTCTCCGCTCCTCTCCGCTCCCGCGATGGGAAAAGTTGGCGCCGGCGGCGGCTTCCTGGTCAGGCTGAGCGCGCTCCTGGCGGGCACGGGGCTTCTGGTGCTTTTAGCCCCCGGCGTCCTCAGCAGCCGCTCCTGCTGCTCCTCGCAGCACCCCGGCTCGACCCCACGCTGGACCCTGACCCCAAGAGGTTTTCCTCACCCGGGACCGCTGGGTCGGGCTCCTGCCACGCCCCCGCCCCTCCTCATGAGACCCCTGTTCGCAGTGGCCCCCGGGGACCGGGCGCTGTCTCTGGAGAGATCTGGGGGCAGCAGGGTGTCAGTGACGACCGCTGCACGCTCTGGCCGAAGGAGACGGAGTGGAGCGGATCCTGTGAAGACTGAACCCGGAGAGGGTGCGAGTCGGAGCCGCCGGGGCATGCTAAGGGATGGAGGGCAGCAGGGGCCTGGGACTGGCGCGCGGGACCCGGACAAAGCCACCCGCTTCCGGATGGAGGAGCTGAGACTGACCAGCACCACGTTTGCGCTGACTGGAGACTCGGCACACAACCAGGCTATGGTCCACTGGTCTGGCCACAACAGCAGCGTGAGTAGAATGGAACTCTGGGCAAAGGGGCCAGAGAACCAAAGGGTTACTGTCCGCTGTGAGATTTGATGGAGAATGTGGGGGAAAGAGGGTTCTGGACTTGGGAATTGCTTCACAGTGAAGACTTCCCAGCGGGCCTCCCTCAGGAGTTAAAGGTGCCTACTAGGGAGCCCTCCCACCCCCAAAGACAGAGTTTTCTCCAAATCACAAGGTTCAAACTGGAACCGAACAGGCAGACCTATTATTATTATTATTATTATTATTATTATTATTATTATTATTATTATTATTTCTTCAGTGACACTGGAGGGTCGAACTGAAGACCAAAACCGGGAGTGTGGGGGTGTGCTAAAGTAGTTTTAATACAGAGATGAAAGGGTTAAATATCCAACCCCACTGAAATTCCCTTCAGGGACTTTTCCTTACCTGGATAGATTTGTGGAGTGCACTGCACAGAGAAGTCGCGTGTGGGGGCTTTTTATTTTATTTTTATATAGAACACATAGCCCCTTGTTCCGCCCGAGAGAGGCCAACTGCAGTGCGATATTAGGTGCCCTTTTTATTATTATCTATTTGTGGACCAAATGGATGCAAGTTTCAGCGCAGAGCCTCCCCAGCATCTTCCGACAGCATTAGCAAGTGCGTTTTGAGAAGCAGGGCTTTTCTAGCCCATGAAAGGGCAGTTGTTCTCAGGCATGGTCAGCCTGGGGAAGATCAGCTAGATTTCAGGGACAACAACAGGGAGTTGTTTTCCTACCGACTGACCTCCTCTAGAGAAGAGCTCAAGTAAAGATTTGAATTTCCCTATGAAGACAGGGAAGAGATTTCAGGCCCCGGGAGATTTAGGGTGCAAGTCACTGATTCTGTCAGGAGATACAGATTTTCAGAAAAGCCTGTGCATTTGAAATCTGAGGAAGCTGTACAGTTTAACCCAAACGTAGAAACTTCAATGCTCTGAAATAGTAAAGGACCAGCTTTGATGGTAATAACTAAAGACGATTTAAAAGTGTATGTGTAAAGTTATCCCGACTGCTGTGAAGCCGACTAGCAAAGTTAAAGGCTTTGAGAAGGGGGAGGGTCTCAGTTGCAGCTTCCATTGGATGATAGAGATCGAGTCTACAATGTGCAGGCGATGCAACCTGGTACCTTCGTAAATGTTTTCTGTTGTGGTGCGCATGCCAGGAACGTTGCCAACAAGTGCCACTTCGCTGAGCTGTGTTCATCGCTGGGTTTTTAATGAGAGTTGAGAAGGCTTTGATGCACAGTGTCATGTATTTGGTGATCTAGCCTAGCCTGTACTGAGGACAGCAGCTGGGTTTCTTTACAATGCAACCTTCCAGATAGAGAGGCAGAGGCTGCTGTTCCAGGTGGTTCTCACGAACGGGCTCAATAAAAAATAAATATATAAATAAATTGAAAAAAAGCTGCAATTTTATTCAAGTTCTGGACACTCTTAGCCTGGTGCATCATGTCTTTTTATATCATAACTGCTAAAAGTTGATCCTTTAATGTTTAAGTACAATCTTCCCATGCTGGCTGATTAACTCGGGGTCCCTTAAGTGATTAACTCAAAGCTCTGGCTTTGGGGGGAGATTTTGAATACAGCAAATGTATGAGGTCTTGTATTAAGAAGAAAAAAAGAAAGATAAAACTTTGGACCCAAACTCTTCCTGGCTTTTAATGTAATTCAAGCTGTAAAATATCACTTATCCATTAGACCTCTACTGTAGTTCATCTCTTAAAAGATCTTGGAAAGAGAATACATGTTTGGCAAATTTTAACCTCCATTTCAGAAATGGCGCCAAGCACTGCCAGCTTTTAATTTCTTTTCGATGCATATGAGTTGAGTGGGGCTTCCTAGTGCTAGGGCTTAGACAGGGAGATGAGTCCAAGAAGATGTAGGAAATAATGAAGATGGTGAGTGTTAAAGGTCGGAACACTCAAATTATGTTGACCACAGGGTGAGATTGTGATCCTCTGATGTCTCCTATTCCACAGCAGCCTCCCCTACCCCTCCCCAGGTCCTGCTCTGAGAATCTCACAGAAGTACTTCTGCTGGTATATTATGTATTTGTGTAGATGATGAAGAAAGAGAAACAGTGTTTCTGCAGGTCCATTAAATAACACCAGTCCTGCCTCTCTGGACCAGACTCCTCGCAGATAGAAAGATTACAATATGTTGTACAGGGGAAAGATTCAGAAAGACGCTTTTGGACAGCGTTGTGCAATGAAAGTAGAGGGAGAACTGAATTCCAGAGCAGCTCCTCGGTGTTTGATCAGGGCTTGTTGTTCATGCTGTGGGTTTGCAATCCATCTAAAGAGGGGGAATGCGTCTAGATTACTTTCCAAGAATTCCAGGACAAGTTACGCATAACTGGGTACTGTGACTGAAATACTTTAGACCTGTTCTCAATTTTATCATATTTATCCAGGGTGAGAAATCTACTTATTTAAACCTAAGGGCAATGTTAGGAAATTCCCGTGTTTTCATACTTAGATATCTCCACTGTCCTGAGTCTCCTTTCCAGGTCTCAGGGATACATGTAACAAGACTCCAAAGCCTTTGTCACATTAGACGAAACCCTGTGCTAAAAAGAGCCTTTGATTACAATAACATTGGAGTCCAAAGTGCAAATGCATGCTAATTATAGGCTGCCTGCCAGATTGGTGAGAAACTCTGAACTGGTCTCTCATCTCCTTTCCTTCTTTTTCCTGCCCCATCAGCTATTGGGCTCATGCAGTTGTGTAGAGACATAGCTGTTGTGCCTCATCCGTGGGTGTGATTTACTTCCTCCACACTGCAGTCTTCTCCCTTGATGGAAACCGTTGCTAGAGTTGGTGGAACACCTGGGGGGATCTTCCGGCATGAAAGGTGCTGGGTATGAATCATTTGTCATAAGCTTAGTGTCATAAGCAAGAACATATTGTCCCTATCCTACTCGTTCCAGGCATGCTGTGCCCTGATCTAAATTTATGTAGTAATCCTTGGAGTGTGGCAAATGTATTTGTCTATAGATGCGTTCATGGTGCTTTATGTGTTGATACTTTCATCCCAAGGGATTTTAGAGTGTTATACTTACTAATCTATAAAATCCCTCTTAGGTGGGAAGTAGATGACAAGTGTTAATATCTGCCTTTCATATTTTTTGCTGGAGTTAGTTTGAAGATTTCAGTTCATCACCCAGGCTTTTTCTCACTGGCAATAGTGCTAAGTGACTGGTTAACAGAACTTTTTACTTAGATCTTCCACCATGAGAACTTTTATGTTGTCCTCTTCAGAGAGTGTGACGGCCTGGTCAGCACTCATGTGTCACTTTGCCTTTATTTCTAAATAACCTAACTGAATAAACTGCGTTCCCACTGGGGCATGCCGGGTGTCTTCGTTCACGCTCCCACCTAATCACGTTGAGTAGAAGTTCTTACATAGAAGAGGAAGCTGAGGCTCCAGCAGGGTAAAAGAGGACCCGGATAAAATCATCCATGAATGCACAAAGCAGGAAAGAAGCTTCTGTAGTCACTGCTCTGACACCCCCCAAACAGCTTGCCTTGTGGGTTTTTAAGTAGACAGACACTCGAGCCTTTGGACTCTGTATACTCACAATCCCGTTGTGAGTTGGTGTTTGATGGCAATAGGAAGGCATCTTCTGGACTGAAGGCTTCCTCTCCTTGAGGAAAAGCAAGTGCTTTACTGTATGCCTGTCATCACATAGTCGCTCTAAGTGGGGAGTTGGTTGTTCTCAGCCACCCACCTCTTCATCTTTTGTGAGAGGTGGAATTTGCACCTGGTGATTCTAGAAGGGTAACCTAAGATCATTCAGCTCTGTGCTTATCTTTGGGAAGAGATTCTTTCTTCTTATTTAATGGCATATCAGATCTTATAAAGGGTAAGGAGGGTGTCAGTAATTTGGCAAAATGTTTTAATACGTTGTTCCCCTTCTCTCTTTTCCAACCTGACTCATTTTTATTTTTAAACAAAGTGGAAAAAGATTTTTAGCTTTCGTTAGCAAGCTGACATTCTTACTTCTCCGGTGGGTCCTTTATGCTTTTAATGAACGCTGATGTGATGTGATGTGGGGCTTAGCGGGCAACAGTGTTAGAAGCAGATGGATCTGAGTTCCTGTCTCAACACTCCTGATTGCCACCACAGTGTTTAGAGAAATCACTTGAGTTCTTTGGGACTTAGGCCTCTCTTCTGAGACACTAGAGTGGCATGTCTTCTATAGCACTTTTTTTTTCCCTTGAAGATTTCATGTCAAGTATATTAAGTACTTTGTGTGGCAAGTACTCAATAAGCAACCCCTCTTTAGGTGAAAAGAAGAGTTTTTTTTTTTTTTTTTAAACTGGTAATTAAGAATGACAGATTAGAGAACTGGTTGCTTGTGTGCAGTCACATCATGCTGTAATTTCATGTCCTTGATTTCATCCTCTGCAATGATTTGAATAAATTAGATCACGGGCATAAATTAAGATTGACTCCATGCTTCATTCAACATGCAGACTGCCAAGGTCCACCTCACGTGTGTGGCCAGAGAGACTGAAATTTAAACCTGGCACAATGACCTATAGTTCTTGTTTCTCATGGTTCTCTCCTCCTTCCCCCATGTGCAGATTTGTTTCTGAGGTATCACATACGTTTTGAGCTCTCCATAGACATTCGTTTCAGCCTGTGCTTATGGATTTACAAAAGCATATGGTTTACTGGATTATTTTCATCACATCTGAGTGTTAATAATGTGCTATTTTTGTATTGAAGGCCAGGAGAATGGTAAAATTGGAAAGTGAAAACGTCTTAGATGTTCGACAAGAATTTTCTAGAGTAAATTTTCAAGTAGTTCCTTAGACATTTATAGGCTGGGCTGAAATTGAAGGTGAAGTAAATGAATTTACTACGGGCTGACTGACATGTGTCGGACTGACTGACATATCTCAACATTACGAGAGCCTTCCACGAATTGTATTTACTTTTAAGTCTACAAATACTCATCGTTCACTGGCCTGGG